GCGTGCATATTCACATAGGCGAGCGATTAGAGAGATAAAACATGTTAGTAGTAACACAATCTACAGACCTACTATGCCAAGGTAACGAGACCTAAATTAAAATAACCCGACACACGAAGCCGAACGACTACGGTGAGGCAAACACGACCCTTGCCTAGCGAAGTAATAACGTAGTATATAAAACGGAGTAGAAGAGATTGGTGTAGGATATACGGAGAGAGAGAGAGAGATTGTAGATATACGGAGGAGAGAAGAGAGAGAGAGAGAGATTGTTAGATAACACTAGCCAGTGTCAGGTTCTATTGACGCACCCACCGGCAACACTAGAATCGTGCGAGTGCGCTCGGATATATACCTTTATCTGCTGGCGTAAGAAAACCTTAAACGAATTTGTGTCAATTCAACACGTAGCATCGGGTTAACGACTCCCACTAGAGGACGACATACGACAAGGTTAAGACACTATGACGGTGGTCGAGAGATCACAGGAGACGGGAGTAGGGAAGGCATGCAGGTAAAGGAGAGAGGCTCGCGGTAGTGAGAGTTGAAGTGGACGGGCTATGTACGCGACAGGGACAACGCGCCCGCGCGACTAAGCATCAGCCAACAGGGGAACAATTCCACCAAAAAAATTTGCATAGCAAATGTGCTATACAAAATGAATTTGCAATAGCAAGTGGATAAATTTGTATAAAGCATTTTTTCAGACAATCACAGTGCAAATTTACAACCGCAGTGCATGCTTTGGCGGTGTTATCGTGTCGGCCATGTGACAGGACACGCACTTAAGCCTAGACACGACTCAGCGACTGCAACCGTGCCCGGGCAGCGTTTTAAACAGCGTGCGAGCCTGCACTCCGCCGCTCGCCAATGTCGAGTGAAAATAATACGGGCCGGGCGAGTGAAAGCAAAAAGCTGAGCTCGCCATGTTGGCGAGTAAAAATGTCTAGAACTTTAAATCAATGTTGGTTCCTGATACTTATAATCCAAACATGATGAAATACAGTTTTAGCGATTGCTGAAGGCGGTCTACCACTCCTCGACCACGAGCATCCTCTACTTTATTTATCAAGTCTCCAGATAAAGCAGCCCGCGAGAGCGCTCCGCGCCAGCACAGCGTGGCTGTTAAATACCGTCCTGGGCGGCAATATGATTGATGTACGGGGGGGTGCAGCGATGTTTAAAAGTCACGTTGGCCTTAGGGTAACAAATCAATAAAACGCGTAACGGCATTCATTGACGGGGCAAAAGCAGCGCCCGAGAATATAAAGTAAATTTAAACATGGTAGTTCCGTTTACATCGCGGCATGGGCTGCAATGCGCGAGAGCGAGAGCGAATGGCATAAAAAAAATTATCGTAGCAAATGGCTGAAAAACACGCGAGAGTGAGCGATGGAGATACCCGGGAAAATGATTTCCCATGCCAACGTTCGAAAAACGCACTCCGATTGGTATAAACGTAATTCTCGTTATCCTAACATCACACAATAGTATTTATCCCCTATTATGACACACATGTCCACGAAATTTAATAAGTAATGGCACGGCGAAACATTAATTGCTTTAAAGTTAAACATACAAGGTTAACATTAAACAACCGATGATAGAGGAGCAGAGAGCGAGCGCAGCGAGCGAGAGCGACACAACTTTACACAGCACACAGCCACGCACCGCACGCTCACACACACAGCACGCACGCACGTCACGCACGCACAGCACCGCACAGCACAGCACTCACACACACACACCACACCACACTGTAAATAATAGGCGTACGAGTATACAGCGTATAACATACAATAATTTTAGCACGGTAAGGTAACCGCTACATATACATCAAACAATAAAGAGCACATGACAACAAAACTGCTTCCAGCGCAATTGTCTCATAGCCAAAGCGTGTAAAGCGTGGTAAAAACATGCGCGGGACGATGCCAACTCCACCCATAAACAAGGCCGCGACTCGTGACGCGTACGCGCCACGCCTCATAGTTACGCGGTAGCTGCCGAGATCGAAGCACTGACACATAGAGTGGTATCTAGTAGATGCGGCAGCAGGCACGCCGCATCAGCCTGCCGCAGCTGCCACATCGGCAGCGCCGAGATCTAATTCCTCATCGACGGACCACGCACCGACGCTGTCACCTCCCTCACTGCGTGTGGAGTGTATGTGACTGTGTGAACGTGTGTGCGTGCGTACATGCGTGTGGAGTGTATGTGACTGTGGGAACGTGTGCGTGTATGCGTACATGCAAGCGTGTGTGTAGAAGAGGATGGGGCACCCACTAATGTCACCTGCATCTGCACTTATTGCTCACCTTATATGTAATCTTGTCACATCGCATATCAACGTAAATAATCTGCAGCTACTGATAATGGCCTGAGAGCTTGTGCAAGTCGATATATTGATGGGCTAGACGAACGAAATTGACACACTTTAGAGCTAAACCTTAGTTTTCTAATGTACTCTCATACCTTTTTTTCATAAATTCTTACCGCGAGTTAGTTTGTCGTTATATGGTTTCCAGCGGTGAGTCTGCACCTAGTCTGGTTTTTACGGACTGCCTTTCGTCTTATCTGCAGCTCGTCTTTGTTTTCTTTACTTACTATACCTAAATACTATACCTTTTGAACTTTGAATTTCCAAACGACGATTTCTTTCATTTTCTTTCTTTTTATCTAGTATCTTGGACTGTGATGAAGAGACCGGCTTCAGAAGGTACAAAGTCGTTTCGATTTCGTTTAGCGTTTAACGGGTCGTGTATAAATTCGTGATCGCTCTGTGTGTATGTACGTGTGTGTATGTTACTTAACCATGTGGGTGGTGTGATCATGTGTGATGTGTCTTGCTTGCTCTGTTCGTTGGCATGCTGGTTTTGATCACATCGAAAATGAAATCCTAAAGTTTAAACCCATCGGAAATAAATCAGAATATAAATCGTATGTTAGTCATAGATCATATATATATTAACCAAAATAACTCGTCAAATCAGGTCGATCGCATCGCTGCGATTTAAGGAGTAGATGGGTGTGCTCGATAACAGAGTATGTGTGTGTGTGTGTGAGTGATGGGGGTGGGTATGTATGGGTGGTTATGTACGGGAGGTGACGATAGGGATGTATGGGGGTGGGTATGTATGGGTGGTTATGTACGGGAGGTGACGATAGGGATGTATGGGGGTGGGTATGTATGGGTGGGTGTGACGACAGATGAGGATGTATGAGATGGGTATGTATGGGTGAGTGTGTATGAGAGGTGAGGCTGTGTGAGATGTGGATAATGATGTAGGTGAGTGTGTATGATAGGTGAGGGTGTGTGAGATGTGGATAAGGATGTATGGGTGGGTGTGTATGATAGGTGAGGCTGTGTGAGATGTGGATAATGATGTATGGGTGAGTGTGTATGATAGGTGAGGCTGTGTGAGATGTGGATAAGGATGTATGGGTGAGTG